TTTGCCATTACAATTCATCCCAAAGAAGCGAATGGTCCTAATTTCTTCGTCATAGTAACGAGCTTCCACCGAATTGGTGTTAGCCATAAAAGGTTTGTCATCAACCTTCACAACCTCAATTCTGTCACAATTCTAGAATATCAATTTCTAGTGCAAAGTTGAAGGAACACACCATCTACAATGGATCCAATCTCTCTCAAGTAATGCATTATAAGTGGCGACAATGTCAACCACAAAGAATGCACACATGAGAGTTCTGTTTCCCACAGTGAGCTCTATTGGCAAAATTCCTCTAAAGTGATTTACTCCTCCTGTGAAGTCGTTGATTGTCACTTCTGTTTCGATAAGATCTTTCAAAGATTTGCCAATTTTGTGTAACATACAAGTTGGCAATACGTTGATAGCAGTGCCATTGTCCAACAGAACTCGATTAACTCGAATACCATCCATGTGAGCATGAATGTATAATGGCCTTATATGTCTAGCCATCCTCTCTTCTGGCTTCTCAAAAATAATTTTGTTTGTTGAAATCTCATTTTCATCCTCCTTCACTGGTATCTCAATAATTCCTTCCTCAGCCTGATTTGCCTGTTGATAATCTGCAGATTTTGGTTCTCCTTTGGCTTGAAAGACTAGAAGAAGGGTAAGCACAAAACAAGACAAATTCACAGAAAACTCACCAAATTGGATGGTTTCTTACTTTGTTGAATTTTCCATTTCTTTTTCCGCCTTGAACGTTGCTTTTAGGCTAGTTTCCTCACTTGTCTCCATTGTTAAAACTTGCAAAGAAGTTGGACTTTTGAGTTGTTTTTCATCTTTTGGAGATGTCTGAGTTGATATCTCACTACAAGAAAAATGGTTTTTAGTGACAGAAATTTGTGATGAATTTTGAAATCATCACTATAACTTATCACAATTGTGACAGATTTAAAAAATTGGTCACAGATGCATACATATTTAATGATGAAGAAAAAAATTCATCATAAAAAATATATTTTATCACCAAAAAATGTTCATAAAGATAAAATAAACCTTTGTCAATAAAAATCATCGTTATAATGCATTACAATTATGACAAAATTCTAATATTGATCACATATACCTTACACATTCAATGATGACCAAATAATTCATCACTAAAAATTATTAGTTTTCTCTAATAAATGCATCCCACATCGATAAAAAACATATAAAAAAAATAAGGTTTTGTACTATAAATATATCCCACATCGATGAGAAATATTTAAGAAAATAAATTTTTGCACTATAAAACATGTGAAACTCAATAAAACTTTAGATTAGTTTCGGCATGATTAATTTTAATCGGACTTGACTAATTTTAATTAAAATTGATTAATATTGAAATAATAATATTTTTTATTAAACTTTTGTGATAAATTTATATATTATTTTTTTTGACAAAATTTTTGTCAAAATATTTAT